GGCCCCCCCCCCCCCCGCCTAGCCCCGCCCTGGCCCCCTACCCCCCGCCTAGCCGCCCGCCTAGCCGCCTAGCCGCCTAGCCTCCCGCCTAGGCCCATTTTTTAGAGACTGCGATTGACTGAAAGTCTGCAACCCGAAATTGAAAAAGTTTACCTGCAAATTTGAGCTTGAGATTGAGATTTGGAAGCCGAAGCAAGCACAAGTCATGGGAACCCTAAATACAAAATTTTGCTACCGAACAATGGATTCAAATTCAGCGCCTTGAGCAGGCTCTTCATATTACACAAGTAAATTTTTTCTGCTTGAAACTGGCTTCAGGTTCTTTATTTGCTAAATTCATAAGTTTTGCTGATTCACTAATATTTGCTAGTTTCTTCTTGGTTGGACTGCTTTTCATTCTTTGGATATTACATTTCTGTTATAGATTTTGACATTTGATCATGCCCTCTTGTTTGCTGAGAGAAAAAAGAAAAAAGAAGAAAGATTTGGCTCCTCCTCCTGTTGCATAGGAACCCAAACCCAACGCACCAAAGGACAGAAAAAAAAAAAATTGAAATATTACACACCTCAAGTGAAAAATCTAATTCATTTAAGCTTTTATATTTGTTCTTGTATCAGCATCTGTGTTTCTGTTGTGTGAACTCCACCTTAACTCCAAAGAAAAAATAATAAAAAATTAGAGGGTGCATTTCCTAACGCATGGGTTGGGAATCTCTTCATTATATTTAACTTTTCAAACTGACTTCAAAAGCACCAGATTAACATATCAACATGAAATATCATTTATCGAGCCTCCTTTAGTGTAAAAGGACAGTGACTTCATTAGCTGAAAATGCTTTAGAAGAAGGATTGACCTCGAGTTCATTGACATCCCATTCACTATAAAAACCTGGCTTTTAAGGTTGAGGCAATGACCCTTCGATTTTGAAGGATAGCAAAGATTATTCAGCAAACATCTCCAATTTTGAAGGATTCAAAAGGTGACAAATATTTGAATCTGATCTCATAACAATTTGTGTCTAATAATGGCAAATATGCCGTTAGAGAAACAGAGATAGAGGTGTGCATATCACTGTGCTGGTTGTAACATTTGGCTAATATGTACCTACAGGAACTATGAATATGTCTGTTTTCTAACTGTCCAGCATTCAGTCCCATATAGCATGGCTGGGCTAACACATGGTCTATAAACGTAGCTTTCAATTCTAGCAAAATATGATGATCACACTATATATATGCTTAACAAAACCTTCCATTTTACCTATCGTGCTTTGATTCTATGAGCCACATAATCTGCATTCTCCCCATGTGTATATGGATGATTGAGTAAATGCTAGATAGTGAAAGTTTTTGCTTTTTGATACTCTTAGTGGTGCAATTGGTTGCTCTTATGTCTTCGTCAGAACCAAAGGCTCCTCTTGGTTAGCAGAATTCAAAGAAATATGGTTCCAGTGGCCATCTAGTAGATGCAACTTTGCCCGCTACTAAAGTCAAATCATCATAACTGAGTATAAGGAATGGTACAAATAATCTTCACTATTGTTATCAACAGTGTCTTCTGCATCACGATTCTCTTTCTTTGTTTTAATGAAAGTTTGTAACTTAAATTTGTGTTTCTTATAAATAGAAAAATTATAAATTGGTCACATATCACGATTCTCTTTCTGCAACTCACATATCCCTGCGAGGGAAAAGTCAGTTTACAAGCCTGACAATGTTAAAAAAGGACAAACAATAAAGGAAAACGGATAACCCTCAGTCAGTTAGAAAACAGTATCTTGACATCATGGTGCAGTGACTCTGTGCTCCACAACTAAGAATTAATCCAGTGCTGCAAAAGACAGTCTTCTCATAATCCATGACTTATCAAAATCATGTTAGGATATTAATAAAATATATTACTATAAATTCATGTTATGCAATCAACTAAGGTTTGATATGCGTCACATATGAAACCGGACATTTGAGCATTAACACACAGACACACAAAAGAAGACCACCGATACGGATCTCTGCAGATCACGAAAGTCAGCATTGTCCATTTAGTACCACAGCCCTAAAGATGAGTGGTAAATTCTGTCATATAGAAGGTTTAACATAATTTGTGATAGGAGAAAGTTCAAGGTCATTAAAAGTAAATGAAACGCAGATTGCAGATTGGGTGTGTCCAAGACCCCATGAAGAATTCCTTGCTAGATTTTGGAGCCTGCAATGCAAAGAGACCTTTTTGTCATTCATATGAATTTTGGAAATATTTCAACAACTCATGTTGTGATTTGTGTAACTTAAAGTTTGTTCCTTTATTCTGTCATGATTTCAACAACTCATGTTGTGATTTGAATTAGAGTTAATATATTGTTTGGTATTAGAAGTTGATCAGAAATATGTTGCTTGAGAATGATGGTGTCTTGCCTGACAATTGACTATTAGGAGCGTTCCTCTAGTAGAAAAATCTAAATCATTTGTGGTCATCCACTCACTTGGTTAGTCTTCCAGAATCAAATACAAAATCAACTCAAAGGAAGCTGCAATTTTCTGAATTGTATACTTGTTTTAATTCTTCCTATCTTTTTCTCTCTTTCAGTTCTTTTGTCCCCCTCAAGTTAATACTTAAGTGAGTTGCCAAATGGGGGAAAAAGAGAGTAGAAGAGATGAACCCCACATTTGACTTTGATAGACAAATGCCCAAGAGAAGTACCAATAAGAGCATCTCCAATTGGGAGGTGCTATCCTATAATTTGACACATTTTTATTTTTATTTTTTCAATTCTAACATCATATTGCTCTCTATTTTCGAAAGAAGACTAGAAAACAACTTACCATCTATCTGGTGCTGCTTCTTCCAAACATTAGAAAAAACAGTGCTACACCCAGAAGGAGCCCAGGAGATGACACAATACTGCCTACTATGATTCTTGCTTTCTTCACATTCAGTGAGACTATAAAATGTAACCCAAGTGGTCTAACCCCTCGGGGTGGAAATTTGGTTTAGCAGGTTTAGCACTGATTGTTGTATAGTCTTCATGATCTAGGCAGGAAATATATTTGAAAGCAAAAAGAGTGAGAAGTTAGATATTGATAAAGAAAGAAAAAAAAATTCTGTAATGTCTATCATCCATTGATCTTAACAGACGAATTTTGAAAGTAGAGTTTGATAATTGTGTCCAAATCCAAAATTATAGAGTAACAACCTTTGGGTTTGATATGTTTTGATTTTACTTTTTGTACATGATCATGAAGAGATGGATAACTCCCAATTGACTGTTCCATATCCAAAGATGTTTATTTTTTCTCTTGTTTTCTTTAAAATTTGCATTAACACACTGACTTTTGAGATTAAAAATGACTCGATACCTAGTTCTGATGCTGCCATTCTAAAATAAATATCTTGCCCATTTTCAGTGAAATTTTTTACATCAATCAGCTCACTAAATCACAGCAGGCACCCACTTCCTCCATCCCTGGTATCCAAGTTTGCAAAAGCTGTGCAGGAGCAGTTCTTCTTGCACAACATCTCACATTCCTTGAGT